CCCCACTTTCCATTGTTTTACTTCAATGATAGGTTAGAATTTTGTGAATTATTTTGAATGAAAGATCAAAGGGATAAACCATGCAGATTTATTTAACAAGAGTGCCAATATTAGTGGAGGGCACTGTATATTTATATTTATATATTAGGACTTAAATTATTTTATTAATAAGGCTGTTTTTTTTTTTTTTTAGTTAACTATAATAACCCTGGTAAGTATTTCATTATGTTCACATGTACTGTATATTGACCTCAAAAGTTCAGCTCAGTTATGGGAAAAACATTGATCAACTTTTACAGCACTGAATTAATATAGTGCTTTAAGGTTAGTGATGATAAATAAATATTTACTGTTGAATTGTGGACTGTATTTGACCTTTTTTTATTATTATCTGAAACATGCTGTGACTTATATAATGCACTTAACAACAAGCATGCAAAATATTTGAATTTGTGCTGAATAAGAGACATACATGCGTCCAAGTTTATTTGCATAATTAATTTCCCACTTGTCAGAAGTTTCAGTTTCGCTTTAAAAAAAAAACTATAACTGTCACTATAATGTTTGTTTTATACTTTTATTTTTTGTTCTGAATATGGTTAAATGTAAAAGATTTGTTGTTAAGTAAGTGGAACTAAGATACATATTTATAGTGTCTGAAATGTTTCATTTTATTTATCAGTATTTTACATTATTTCTAAATGTAATAATAAAATGTGACTTATACCGATGTAATTTAAGTTTTTTTTTTTTTTTTGGGGTGGAATTTAGACTTTTTTTTCTGGAAAACACAGTAATACTGTAGTTTAAGAATCATCTACAGGTAAAAAAAAAACAATAATAATAAACACATTTGTTCAGCACTAATGTGAACATTGGATGGGATGCACAGTGATAAATACAAATAAAATGATTTTAAAAAATCAGGAGCAGACATCATGCAAACTCTATTTAACAGGTGTCACAGTGTCACTTCATTGAATCATAATGCTGGATAACGTCACATGCTGTTAAAAAACTGAGTGGCCACGTCCTCAGACAGGACAATGAGTTCCTACCTCAAAAAAGAAGACCTCATCAAACTGAGGATTGTTGGTTTTCCGTTTGACCTTCGTCTTCTTGGCTTCTGACCTGTAAGGGGTGAGAAATGCATTTATGTTATGCTACGGTATGTTACACTGACAGTGATTTGCAGCTATTTCAGGTGGTATGAGCAACAGCTAAATTGAATTTACACTTATTCAAAAGTTTGGGGTCAATACGTTTTTTTTTATTTAAAGGAGACATATTATGCCCCTTTTTACAAAATGTAATTTAAGTCTCTGGTGTCCCCAGAATGTCTGTGAAGTTTCAGCTCAAAATACTCCACAGATCATTTATTATAACATTTTGAAAATGGAAGCATATATATAATATTTTGAGTGGAAGCAGAAACACGCTGTTTTTCGTGCCTGTTTCTTTAAATGCAAATTAGCTGCTGCCCCCTTTTCCAGAATAGAGCTGTGCCATTACAGCTCGGACCTGCTAAAAACATCTGTTTTGGTTCTGATTATCATGTTTATCTTCTTCATACAGTGGACTACCAGTAAAATTGATACAAATTTGGGTCCAAAAATTATTCAGACCGAGTCTGGGAAAAAAACTGAAGTTGAGGTTTTCATGAAGCTGGGTGACAGCATGCCCAGGAGACTACAGGCTGTCATTGAGGCTAAGGGTTGCCCGACTAAGTATTGATAGTTGTGTAAATACTGTCATACTAACAGCTGTCTAATTTTTGGTTGATTGTAATCTATTACATACCTTTCTATCAGAATTATCTAGCATTATCAAGATGAATTTGTTCTGACAGTTTAACTCTGAGTTCTTGTCATGTTTTATTACCATTTTCTAAACTATAGCGAATTGTTGAAGGTGTCTGAATAAATTTTGGTTTGACTGTATCTATTTGATAAATGAAGTTAACCAACTAACATTATACATACCCTTTTGGTTTCTGTACCCAATATTTAAAAAATTTACAAATGTAATAAAAATATAGGTATCGGCATCGGTATCGGCAAGTACCAAAAATAAAAGTATCGGTATCGGGCGAGTACTGGAAAAAGTGGTATCGGTGCATCCCTATTTATTTTAGATCTGTGGCTTAGAATCCACTGCTGTCTTGTCTCCTCTGAGGCACTCTAAACAGTGTTCTGTGCTCGTCTGTGCAGCCAAGACAGAAGAGTTAGCATGTTTTGCTCAAACATTCGCCATGGCATTAGAACTGTAACACCGTTGTCGCTTGTGAAATCAAAATGACGGCGCCTTGGGTGGAAACTTACAGATTAAGCGGCATTAATATTATAATGAGATCCCTTTGCCACGTCACCAAGGGAGCGAAATCAGACGCGCTAATTTTTTTAGACGCTTGGGGGAAAAGGCTTACCAAAACAAAGTTACTGGGTTAATCTTTTTCACGTTTCCTCGGTTGGTAGATGCACCGGGGACCTGATTATAGCACTTAAAACCTGGAAAAGTCAGATTTTCATGATATGTCACCTTTAACATAATGACCCGCATCTAACATTATCCGAAAAACAGATTCATTGATGCATTTGTGACATGAGCTGCTGAAGTAGTGCATCATGGTCCTCAGAATGAACAAGTCCTCAGAAGCACAAAGGCCAGTGTTTCCCAAATCATGTGTCTTGCCTAAGGACAGCATCACTACTGCAGTATCCATTTCCACCAACACTGGATCTGCGCTATAAAGACTAGTGAAAATACTTTGTCATCTAAAGTATAAGTATGTTTATTTAACACATTTATTTTTTAATCAATTTTCAAATGATTTCAAATTTCTTAAATATTAATTAAAATAAATAAAATTATATCGGCTTTATATCGGCCACCCTGATTTCCAAGATATCGGCATCGGCTGTCAAAAAAACAATATCGGTTGACCACTACTTGTGAATCATCTCATGACTAAGTGCAGGCGTGATGTAAATAAGAGTTTTCTTTCATAGGTTCATCCCTTGTTCCGATTGTCTGAAGCCCGTATGGATTGGCTGATGGTGCGGCCGCCACCCAGACATCACTATGTCATCCACTCTAAATGCCACGTTCACACAGCAGCAGAATATGGTTGTCAGTCCTGTATTTGAGTCCTTAATATGGTTACGTTCACACAGAGTACGGTTATTTTCAGGCGTGACAACCGCATTCTGTAACAGAACTCTGTAATAGAAATATATCTGCATTGTTAATCCTTTTGATTTTGATTTTAAAAATTCACAAAAATCTAACCTTTCAATAAAGTAAAACAATTGAAAATGGGGGAAAATGTTATAAAAATGTTATAAAAATGTTATGAAATAAATGTTTTTCCGAAGTTCTCTTCCAGGCAGATTTGTAACATTTCCTGTTGATTGGAACTTCTTAATTACTGTGCTGATGGTGGAAATGAGAATAGATATTTTCTTACAGCCACTTTTTGTGAAGCTCAACAATTATTTTGTTTTTCTCATTGTGATGGGTGATTGAGGGAATTTAGTCTTTGTGTTCCCTAATATATATATTCCTGTGAAACAGGAAATCATGGATGGACAATTATAAATATGAATTGGAATGTACTTTTACTCATAATAATTTCTAGGGGTGCCAATAATTGTGGCCAGTGTGTATTAGAGAAACTGAACTCAGCCAAATTAATCCAAAATTAATCATTTAAGACAAGCTAATAGTGACCAGCACACATAAGGCCACCAGTATGTTTTGCAATCATAATAAAAACGTGAAATTGTGTAATGCATTTTAGGCCTATATTTCCTGCTTTATCTAAAAGAAAAAGCCCTTGCCATGTCAAAGTCACACACCAGAATCACAGCAGCAGCAGTGCAATGAAGCTCATGTACTGAATGAATCAGTGTGTGTGTGTGTGTGTGTGTGTGTGTGTAAACATCATCCTCGTTGTGTCTTAAAATGGAAGCTGCATAAATATCCTGTGAATGAAAGCACTGCTCATTGTGACACTAAGCTCATTACCCAGAGTGCTCCAGTGTAGGAAACTGTCCAGACATGGACCTACTAATGCTGTGAAAGCATATGAAACCTACATGAGCACACACACACGCGTGCAGCACATACTGCATGTTCTCATACATTAACTCATTTTCATTCAGATAACTGACAGTACAGCACAGATGCATTCATGCAGTTACAGATATGTGAAGATATGTCCAGTGTATGCACACACACACACAAACGCAGCAGACTTCAGTTCACTTATTTACTCTCAGTCTGAGTGTGGCGTTTCTCTTGTAATTTTAAATAAAGCGTCAGGCGCTAATCAAGGCATCAAACCACACAGTGACTGCAGCAGATCAGCAGAGCTTAACTATGATGCTAAAATGCACTTCAGTGAATGTGCAGACACTAGCTACACCACACTACTGCTAAAGAACGTACACTACACAGTATGCAACATTACTGCACGCAATAAAATCTGCAGTAAACAACACTGATGAGCACTGGCTGAGATGCCTGGTAATGGACATTCAAAGGCAAATGATGGTGGTTTGTGTATTCATCACATGCACTTTTATCAAACACTATAGAATACCCAAGACGTGTCACTTTTATAGTTTTGAATGAGGAAAAATGCAATGCTCAATATGGCCGCTCTATTGAACGAAGCCCCGCCTTCTAAGTAAAAGAGCCAATCGCTAATCGGTAAAGTCATCGCGTTACTGCAGCTGCCGTTAGAAGTCCCGGTTGCTATAGAAACAGTCAGTGTTCTGAGACGTGCGCTCAGGACTGCGCATGCACACTGGCTGGTATAGCCTGAAAATAAGCTTTTTTATCGCTATTTGAGCAAAAGAAACAACATTTATGAGACTGTTGCTGTCAGATTTCATTGGTGATTTCAAATCTGAAATTTAATCATAAGCTTGGCGAACGGTTTTGGAGAATTTGATGTTTCCCCATTCAAAGAGATAGGAGCTGCACTTGCATGCCCGAGAGGCATTTCAAAGATGGCCGCCGAGTGACATGACTTGCCTTAAAGGGACTTTGCTTTTATCCAGAGCGACTTACACTGCATTAAGTCATGCATTCCTTGGGAACTGAACCCATGACTGTTGCGAGCCAAGCTATACTATTTTAGCTACAAGAAAGATGTCATGTCATTATGACACGTGACTAAAACAATGATGATTTGTTTCTTAATGTTTCAGAAGATCTCAAGACCCACAAAACTCACAGATCATTCATTCAGCATGATGAGAGCCAAGAGTGACAAACTCTGTGCAAATATACTGAGAAAATAAGGTGAAAATGAAGAAGGAAAGTGAGATGGAAAGACCTATTTCTGCTGCTGGTCTTGAAGACACAAATGAAGATAAGTAAACAACAGCAAACAACATCACACTCTCTTTCTCATATTCATAGAGATTTCTGTAGAGAACTAAAGCAGATTCGTCACATCCATTAGATGACACTAAAATCAAATGCTGTTCTGACGCCTATTACAATAGTTTCAGCATCCCAGCTAACAAAAATATGTTCTAAGAACAATTTGTTAACACTCCCATTAAGTTATGAAAATTTTATTTTTATACATTTTCTCTGAATGTACAAAATGTCCAGTTTTTAAAATGTTTTAAAACGTTTTTTTTATCTTGGTTATGCAAATGTTAAGGGAACATTCCATTTGATCATTTTGCAAACATTATGGGAATGTTACTTTTGAATCTTCTCTGAACATTCTGAAACAAGTAGTAGCTAATATTTAAAGTTTAAATGTTCCATGAAAAAACGATCCATAAATTATGTATAAATGTTTTTGTGCTAACATTTTAAGAACATTATTAAAGACCAGATAACTTGAAACGAACGTTTGTTCATAACTTTTAGAGAACCTTGCCAGAACATTTTGAGAACGCTCCCTGTTAGCTGGGATCAGTCTATCAATGCTCTTATATGTCTATAATGAGGAGAAAGATGTTCCTGTCTTTTTTAATGATAATCAAAACCACATATATGGCTGGGTGGTATGACGGTAAATTATCGTTACCACTAGTGGTTGATTGATATATCGCCACGGTCGATATACCGGCCGATATTTTAAATTTTTCAAATATCGGCATCGGTCGATAAGTTTTTCTGTTTGGCTGATATGTTCGAGACTTTTATTTTGACTGTGCAGAGAACAGCAGCGCCTGTGCACACAGCGCTCACATTATCACTCTTCATTGTTTGCTGTCATCGTTTAACAGTTCTGCCTAATACAGATAGAAGTCTGTCTAATAATCAGATAGAACTGTTAAACAAATGAATTCAAATGTATACAAAAAGTTTTATAACGACTGCTTTCATATTATTAGTAATAGAAAGGCAAACATTATAATACTTTCTTGTTTGCCGTCAGCATTCAGCAAATATGCATTTATATCATTTAAACAAATCTTTCAATGTCTAATAAACATTTGATTTCACAAACCTTGCAGACTTAGTCGAATCTAGTTGTGAGATCTTGTGAAGTGTGCATTTGTATCCTGCATGATTGCGTGTGCTCTGTGTGACGGTTGGTCCGTGCGAATTAAATGCAGACAGGAGGAGAGTTCAGTTTCTCTGGAGACGCATGATTGACACACTTTAAACTCGTGATTTCAAACTATGCTGCGCATAATTTGCCCACTATCATATTCATGTCATTTTCACTGTGTGCTGAATGTAAAATGAGTGTTACCTTGGCTTTTGTTGAAAAAAAATAAAATGATTCCCAATGCACACAAACTTCCCAGATTACTGAGTGCCCTGTTGGTTACAGTGTTTACTTCCTTTTTATTTATATATATTTAAATATTTCTTTATTTGTCTCTATTATATTTCTATTCTAACTACTTGTTTTATTTATAAAGAAAGAAGAGCCTCTAACACTAGCATTATCTATTCTTTCTATTTATTTTATTTTTATTTATTATAAATAATGACCTTCTAACACTAGCATTATCTGTTCTTTTTCTGTTCTATTGAATTGTTTTATTTTTATTAAAAAATGACCCTCTAACACTAGCTCTTTTTCTTCTTTTTCTATTCTTTCTACTTGTTTTCTTTTTATTTATTATAAAAACAAAATAAGCAAAAAAAAAAAACAAAAAAAAAACCTTGCTATGTATACTGTTAGGTGAAGCCCCGCGCACAAACCATCATTTTTTATTTATTTTTTTAATAAGTATCGGTTCAGGCACCGTTTAGGCACCGGAACCGTTTTAAAAGTATCGATTTGTCACTGGTATCGAAAAAAAACCAAACGATACCCAACCCTACTTCCATAATCAGGAAAAAAATACTATGAACTCAATGCTACCGTCAAATGTTTGATTACCCACATTCTTCAAAATATCTTCTTTTGTGTTCAACAGAAGAAAGATATTCATACAGGTTTGGAACAACATAAAGGTTAATAAATTATGACAAGATGTTAATTTTTGGATGAACTATCCCTTTAAGGAAGCCCTTTGTAATTCAGACAAATTACAGCAATTCAAACACTTGTCAGTCATTGGTCAGATGGTCAGAAAGTCCCGCCCCCATATGCACATGATTAGTTGAGTTTGAAGCATCTCCGTGACTCTGAACATTAAACTGACATACTAGAAACTTTAAGCAGTTAAAAATAAAAGGTAAGAATTTAGGTCAATTAGTCAACCTGTATAATTAGTTGGTTGTTGGATGACAAAAACCTCTTTACCCTCTTTAAAGCATCACTGCTAAAAAATACTGAAGCTGCATGTGTGATTTCTATTCAATCAAACAACTGCAAGAATAATGAAAATTCTCGTCAGTCATTGGTCTGATGGTCAGAAAATCCCGCCCCAAAACTCACATGACTGGTTGGGTCAGAAGTGTCTCCCTCATTCTGAACATTAAATAGACTATAATTAGTAGTTTGTTGGATGATGAACATTACATGTACAAGAAACACCCTCACTGAAACAAGGAACATACTCTCTGATCTTTCAGGACGTGAATCTAATAAAACACGAAGGCTGAGCTCTGATTGGCTGACGGGCAGCTATGTGGAACTTGTGATTGGCTGTCTCACCGTGTTGCCAGCTTGTGGCAGACGACTCCGCTGTCTGTGATGACCTCACTGAGACGCAGCTCCAGGTGAACCTTTCCCTGCGGAGGACAGAGAACAGCGTTACCATGGTTACACTCGCCACCCGATGAGAAGGAGAGCGAGAGACAGAGGAACGGAGCATGAGAAACCAATGAAAACACAACCACTGCAGGGTCCCATGAGGCTGTGCTGGGATCGGGCTGCCAATGAGTCATGGGCAGCACACGTGACCGAACATGGAACATGGAAAACACTCGGGGTGGGCGGTCCTATGGTACATACCGACAGAAATGTGTCAACTGGTAAAGATTCTACTGAACTGTTCATACTGCAGCAGAATATTTTTTTAAAAATATAAAACTATTTTTATATTTAAAAATATTAAAATATTTTTTAAAATACAAAAATGTTTTTTTCATTAAATTTCTAGATATTTTCATTAAAATATAAACATATGTTACAGCACGCAGCTCTTTGTCACTTCATAAGCATTTTACCGTTTCTTTTGAGAAAAACCATCGTCATATCATTTACAAACTGAAACTCAAAGGTCTTCACAGCAACCTGTCAAAATAAAAGTTTGGTTTTACTTGAAGAAACTGTGACAGAAATATATTACTTAATGTAATAATTTTGTATAAAATCTATTAATTAGAGATGCTTTTCATTAGGGCTGGGACAATAAATCGATGCATCGCGATTCGTGGATCGATTCTGAGATTTTCGTAATGCATCGTGATTCTCTCTCGAATCGATTCTGAGCTTAGTTTTTAACAGCAGATGGCGCTCTAGGCTAGTTTTTAACCACACACTCAAATGCTCACGAAGAAGAGCGCTTGTGCATTTGGCTGAGTAATGTAAGTGGTTAAATGTACTTGCACATCAGCTTTTATGATGCGAGATTAATGTAAACAGCCCACTGTGAACATCCTTGTAATTCGCTTCAACCTTTTCGAACTTTATGAATGATTATTTTAGGTTCAAATGGTGCGTTACAACACGCAGCTCTTTGTCACTTCATAAGCATTTTACCGTTTCTTTTGAGAAAAACCATCGTCATATCATTTACAAACTGAAAATCAAAGGTCTTCACAGCAACTTGTCAAAATAAAAGTTTGGTTTTACTTGAAGAAACTGTGACAGAAATATATTACTTAATGTAATGATTTTGTATAAAATCTATTAATTAGAGATGCTTTTCATTAGGGCTGGGACAATAAATCGATGCATCGCGATTCGTTATGAAGCGAGATTAACGTAAACAGCCCACTGTGAACATCCTTGTAATTCGCGTCAACCTTTTCGAACTTTATGAATGATTATTTTAGGTTCAAATAGTGCATCTGTAAGGAACTGGAAGCAAGCAGAATATGGCGATTTCTAAAGCACGCAGTGCCATCTGCTGTTAAAAACTAAGCTCAGAATTGATTCAGAGAGAATCGCGATGCCTTCGGAAAATCAGAATCGATGCAGAATCATTTCTCGATTTGCGATGCATCGATTTATTGTCCCAGCTCTACTTTTCATTATTAAAATGTAATGAAACCATTAAAATGTAATCCAGAAAATTAATGGAAAACAGAATGTGTTCAAAATAAAACTGAATTTGAGAAAAAATATATTTCATAGGACTTTCATAGGATAGAAATTTAATTTCTGTTAAACTTTTAATAAATTGCTGTTAAATATTTCATGATTTCGATTAATTAGACATGCTTTTTGATTAATAAAATTTAATTTAACCATTAAAACAGAGTCTAGGAAAATTAAAACGGAATCCAGAAAAATTTAAATGGGAAAAAAAACAGAATTTGGAAAAAAATAAAACGGAATTTGGGGAAAAAAATACAATTTCGTAGGGCCCTAAGTTAGCCAATCAAAACAGTGGCCCGCCAACTTAAAACAGATCATTTCAGACAGAGGGTCAGAATGAGGATTGAAAATAATTGTTTTTCCGCATATATATATATATATATAGCCTATATATAGTGTGTGTGCAAAGATTACTAGTATTATAAGTGAACTTCAAGGAACATATTAAAAAAAATGTCATGATCCCTGTAACATCCAATAAAAAGGCAGCTGAATAAACCAATAGCTTCACTAGCTTGGTAAAACAACATGTAAAAATAAACAGAAAGACATCGGAGCTCCAAATATCTGTTGTAAAACTCATCGCTTTGACATCTTTGAACCCTTCTGATATGTGTTTACACACTTTCCTGTACAGTTCAGGTTGAGTCGTCACGGATAAATATTTTCACATTCATATTCAGCTCGATGGACTAAGAGTGTTTTTTAGAATAAAATCTCTGGAGATGCTTGATTAACTTGGTTGTGTTATAATTCGAAGTTTTATCACTAACCTACGGAACATTGACTTTGCAGATTTTGCAAGCAGCTGTCGAACTTGTTGGCATAGCTGGTGTGAAATACCTTTAAATAGGTGATCCTTTGGTTCACTCCATGCTGTTAGCTGCTCTGTGCACATTAGCTTGTTTGAAAACCGTCTACCGGTGTGCCGAGCCCGTTGTGAGCGCATGACATCACGCTGCACACAGCATAGAATTACAGCAAGAACTCTGTAAGCTTTCGGATCGTAATTTGATGTTATACACCGATCAGTCTGCGCAGCATCACTTCAAGTCGAACACACCTTTAGACTGAATTAAATGGCCCCTATGGATCAGGCCCATTGTCTTGATACCCGTAATAGAATTATTCAATATCGGAGCCAATACCTGATACAAATATCGGATTGTAGGATCCATAAAGCTAAGCTAATGAGCTGAAGCACCTTTCATTAGTGGAGGATTTTATTCACTAAATTATGAAAAATAGAAATGAACATATGATTATTAAAATAAATAAATATATAAATTAAATATTTTTTAAATCATTAAATTTCCAGGTACCGTTAGTGAGACATTAAATTATATTTTATTGACAGCACGCAGCTCCTTCTCTGAGCAATGAAACTTTCCTCTAGTTGAAACAAAGTGAAGCCTTGTGAAGAGGATGGGCTGCTCTTCCTCAAACACAGCACAACAATAAGTGCTCTATGGACAGAGTCTCTGGGCTCTTCATTACACACACACATCCTTCCTCACTCAGCTCTCGATGAATGCTTCTGTGTTTCTGAGGATCCGCTGCAGCTCCGGCAGAATCACTGTGAGTAGATCTCATTCAGCTCTGAACTACAGAACTGCATCAGATGTGGAAATGCAGTCAACGTAATTAAGTGTGAATGATGAGACTGCTGTGATCCTACAGAAAAGAGCTCATGATCTAAACAAATACTGCGTCTCCTCATAAATCATGAGCGTTTGAAGCTCTAATTAGTGGTCATGTGACCCTGGAGGATGGAAAGCGTTCAGGAGCTCAGAGTGAATTGGAATCATTCGTGTTTGTGCTTAACACACGGGAGCATATGAAAACATACCTGCACCTCTGAGTCTGCACAGACCGGCTGCAGCGGGAACCAGTGGTCTTTACCGTGGTATTTTTGCAGGTCTTCCTTCTTCACGGCCACTTTACCTGCAGAAACAACACAGATCACAGATCAGCTCACCACATGAACTGAAGCCTTGTTCAGACTGTCAGTCCAAATCTGATTATTTGTGTATCCGATTGGAATCTGATTTAAATGTTTGACTGTCCACACTGTGTATTGGAACTGTTCAGATCTGATTTGTGTGTCCCATGGTGCTTTTTCATTTTACTGAATATCTGCATTGATTTCTATGGCAACAACGTTGCGTTTGGTATGCCTACGCTCAAAACAACAATAACAAGCAATACAAGCAATACAGTTTGCAATACAGATGTTGTCTTACAACATGACAACATGTTGCCATGCTATTGGAAATCAGTGTAGCTGTAATCATTCAGGTGTTCTGGGATTTTTGGTTTAACTGTGCAAGTGGAACCTTAAACCTTAACTTGTGAAATCTTAATTTGTAAATTTGTATTTGTTTATAAAAATGTTTAAATATTTTATTTTGGAAACATGAAAAAACAATGAAATTTCAACAACATTTTTTGCAGCAGTGTATGACTGTATCATAGTTTACAACCAGACAGCAGACAGTTCACAACCAGACAACATGGAGAATGTTGAACAGGGTAAGTTAACATATGGATCATCACATCAGTATAAAAAAAAAAAATATGTCCACAGATACATTCATATAGATTTATTTCATTTGTTGCAGGCAACGACGTATTCAACAAATGATAACAACTAATAATAGACACAGTTTTAAGGCATCGCAAGCTACAAACTGAAATCAATGTATACAACTAGCTGAGGTTTGCTGTACTTTATCCTGACATTACATGCCTGCAATCATTCAGTCAGGGACGACTGTACAAAACGTGCAAGGTTTGTGTGATTAAAATGTGCACTGCAAACGAATAAAAACGTTATAAACTGTTACGAAATGATGAACAAATGTAGTTTAGGCATAGGTTTGTGCAACCCAATAAATATATTTACCATTTTTGAAATATTCCATTAAACATGCTGAGATACAAGGAGTGCAAACTAAAATTCTCAGTTCCATGCACATGTCCAGGAAACTCATGAATATTCATGTATGTTCTGCACCCTGAAAACGAAAATCCCAGAAACCGAAAATTTCGTAACACCGGTCCGTTTTGATGTCACACTTATGCTCATATCCGCATGTAAACATGTCGTCAGCGTGGAAGTTAAAACATTAATCATATTTAAAACATTAATCTTATAAAATTATTTATGCATTTGAAATTTTGCGGTGTAAATGCATTTATGGCACCTCAGCTTCATCGAACATTCAAATACAGTGTAAATACATCTAATGCTACTTCAGATGCAGCTTCTGTGTTTCCTGCAGTGGAAAGATGGAGTTTGTTGATATTGATTTGATTTCATTTGAATTCTTATTATTCTAACTGAATTAATTGAAACAATGTAAGAATTTGATCTTTCCAGTCACTTGTACTTCCAGAGCACTTTATTTTGAGAGTTAAGTGAGAGAACATCTGTAACTTAGTCCAGATTGGGGGAATTGTAATGTTTAATAATTTCTTTTATTATGTAAATAATTTTTGTATTGAAAAAAGTATAGACATATGTTTGTATATGCTGTCAATTATAGTTCTTGGAAAGAAAATTGGCAGGTCACACTTACAAAAAAATCGGAAATAGCCAAGAAAATTGCCTGAACTGTATTTTCATCGGTCTTCTCAAAGTGAAACCAGACATCAGTACGCGACTTTGAGGCCATGATTCTCTCTCTTCTCACGTCTTTTGATGCATCCTGTGGCAAGCTAACCAATCAGAGCTCAGGGCGCCGCCCAAAGTGCTGCTATAACCAATCAGGGGAAAAAAAGAAAAAAAAAAGTTTCGATCATCGTTTACATGATCGATCATCGCTGTCACGGTCGAGTACTCGAGTACTCGATCACTGTTGCACATCCCTAATAGCAACCACCCAGAAAACCTTAGCAACCATTCAGAGCACACTAACAACCACCTAGCAAGCACATAGCAATACTCTAGAAACCACACTAAACGCCATAGCAACTCCATAGCAACCACTCAGAAGACCCTAGTAAACATCCAGAAAACCTTAGCATCTACCTAGCAACTGCCTAGAACACCCTAACAACCACTTACCCTAGAAAACACCCTAGAAACTCCATAGCAACCACCCAAAACACCCTAGCAAATACCTAGCAACCACACATCCAGAAAATTCTAGAAACTACCTAGCAACCAACCAGAACACCTTGGCAACTACCAAGCAAAACATCAAAACAAGCACCCAGAACACCCTAGCACACTCCCTAGCAACATAGAACCACTTAGCAATGCTTTATGAACCACACAGAAAACCCTAGCAACTACCCAGAACACCCAAGCAAGTGCCCATAACTACCTAGCAACCACCTAGCAATGCCCTAGAAACCATATAATCACACTATGGCTCTTTGTCATTTTTGGTGTCATACACGCTCACATTTTCTGGGAAAGTTTCTAGTTAATGTTCAAACACTTTATCTGTCTTTGTTCTATGTTCTTTAACAAACATTCCCCTTCCTCCTGCCTCAATATCTTTTGTAACATATTAAGGCCTGCAGCCACATTAATCATAAATTAATGAATCATAACAATCTGGTAGGCCAAGCTGTGTGATTAAATGTACGAGCTCTACTGTGACTGGAAAAAAAGTATGTGTAGAGGTCTAAACTGTGTTTTCTTTGACTGAATGGAAAAGGTTTCTCATGTCAGGATATTTCAATTAGGGAGCACACACACACACGTATGTTGGGTTTCCATGTTTTATGGGGATATTCCATAGAAGTAATGGTTTTTATACTGTACAAACTGTATTTTGTATCCCCTTACCCTAACCCTAACCCTACCACTAAACCTACATCTCATACAAAACTTTCTGCATTTTCACATTTACAAAAAATATCATCCTGTATGATTTACTGTATGAGCTGTTTTCCTCATGGGGACCAAAAAATGTCCCCACAAGGACAAGGATTTTGGATATTTCTATCTTTGTGGGAACTTTTTGTCCCTATAACGTAGGGAATACCTGAACAACCCTAACCCTACCACTAAACCTACATCTCATACAAAACTTTCTGCATTTTCACATTTACAAAAAATATCATCCTGTATGATTTACTGTATGAGCTGTTTTCCTCATGGGGACCAAAAAATGTCCCCACAAGGACAAGGATTTTGGATATTGCTATCTTTGTGGGAACTTTTTGTCCCTATAACGTAGGGAATACCTGAACCACACACACACACACACTTACTCAGCTATCTAAATACTGACATTCCATATACTTCTATTGTTTTTATATACATCTAGTTATAAATACTGTAACACTGTAAAAAAAAATTGTAATTTGAACAGCATTTTACTGTAATATGTACAATAAGATATTGTAAAATCTGTATACAGTATATTATTGTAAACAGCAAAGGATTGTGGGAAATTATTGGTCACTAGTGTAATTCTTCTCTACTGTAAATCCAGTATATTATTAGTATTTTTTGTTTTAGTTTTATGCAAAACTGATATATTTTTAGATGTTTTCACTTGTTAATAAAAAACTAGCCTAACTAATTATTCATCATGTCATTTTTCATGTGGGGAGTGTTTTGGAGCCTTTTTTCTGACTGTCGGCCGGAACACCATCAGAACGGTGAAAACATCAACTGGTGAGTAAGTTAAGGTCACCTATATTAGTGTAAGTAAACTTTAGTTAAACCGAGAAACATCAAGTTTGTATGTTCCGCTGCCTCTTTAATGCAAGTTAGCTAATCAGGCGGAGTCTGAGGTAATACTGAGGTAAAGTGAGTTAGGCAACACCATTGTTTTAAGTGGAGTTTTTAAGCAGCATTTTTAAGTACTTATTTTGTTTTTTATCTTCAAATTTGTGGTTCATGTCGTCTGCAACGTCAGAGGTGTATTTTGGAGCCTTTTCTTGTGATTGACATTGTATCGATGATAACATCAACTGGTAAGTTAACATCAGTTAGTCCAAGTAAACTAGTTAAACACATAGAAGCATAACTTCTATGCTGCCTCTTTATCGCAAGTTAGGTCAGACAGACGTAACAACGTAAACAGCGAGTGAAGGTGAAATACTCAGTCAAACTGAGTTAAGAAAAACTGCTGTTAAATACATCATTTGTATTTTATTTTCAGGTTTGGGGTCTTGTGGTCATGCCGTCTGCAACGGAGGTACATTTGGAGGAACATTCAGTAGAGAACAGCAGGCTGTGGCTAATTTGGTACAGTAGGTGTATTTAGCAGTAGCATTCAAGAAACTGAACAAATACAAAAATAAAACACTATATACACTTCACTGTATAAATTATACATTGATTCTTATTAAAGTCCACATGAACCAGAAGCAGCTGCCGACTTTATTTCATTATAGTGACGTATTTCCAACTGAAACGGAATATTAAACGGAGGGAGGGGTTTTATTTTTGCACTCCTCCTCTCATCTCTCACTCATAGATATATAAAGTTATACTCACTCATATATAAAGTTATACAATACAATACAATACAATAGCACTGATTCCAGGTATCCTGAGAGGATGGGCAAAGGAATTAATTTTATTTTAAAATGTCCCTAAACATTCAACCCCAATCCCAATGAAGATGAAAACATTCACTTTCTGGTTGTCATACTCTCATTAAGTTACAATTTAATGTAAATTAATTTAATCTTACCCTGCGGTACATGAATCCTGGATGTTGTCATCTGTGATCGTGACGACCGTAATGAGGCTTCTCCCGCTTGCATTGTGATCTATAATCCCTCGCTTCCAAATTAATATTGTTACCCACCATATTTATTTTTAAATCTTTTATATATCCCTCTATGGCATATTTAAGACCCACTTGAATGGTGGTCCTTCTGTGTCCAAAATGTATCAAAAACATCTTGGGACAAGGTTTTCACACTGACAGCTGACAGTTAGCAACTCCGTTTGTTTGTCCGAGTTCGCAACAGTAACTAAGGGGGGCGGAGCTTACCGATTGGTCTATTACAGAGGACCAAAAGGGTGAGTACTGGGAAAAGATACCACAGGAAGTACAGCACATCTCACAACAGGTCAGAAACGTAACATCCTGTGACCTGTATTCAAACACAGACATTTAATGAGAGCCGCTCACCGATGCTGGAGTCCCTCCTGAACACGTCTCTGTCAAAGATGTAAAAGGACAGATGGCGGAAACTGCGTGGGATTTCACAATAAAAGTCCTCGCCGTAGAACGGACTGCAGTGGATAGAGACAGAGATATATTGTGGGTATTATTATAACAATTATAATTAGTTTTTCTGTTTTTAATTAAATGATTTTTCATTGTCAGATTGATACAATAATGCACAGGTGTTGTTGATGCACCTCATAAACACAGACACACACAGTGTGTTATTCTAACACATCTTCATATGTGCATGGTTAGTGCATGTGTGTTTGTATCCTCACCATAAAGACTTCTCTATGGTTTTGGTTCGAAACACTTCCTCCTGGTCCAGGTTGACTGTGCAGTAACAATCCCGCATTTTATTCGGACCCGGATATGGAGGGATGTTCTTTGCTTCACCTGCAGAGAGACAGACACTCATTTAGTCATTTGAGGCTGATGATTTATGCGTTTTGCAGCCATAATGAGATACAAGCAATCATCAGATGGCTGAGACACATTTATTCTGACAGGAAAAAACAATTCCCATCAGTGTAAGTTGCTTTAGATAACAGCGTCTGCTAAATGAATAAATGTAAATTTAAACGTAAATGCTTCTGAAAAATTTGCAGTCTTCCAGCGATGCATAAAATATGACCCACCTGGTCACCTGGTGATGATGGTTCTATGTACATGAAATTATGTGATAACGTCACCTTTATCAAAAAGAAAACCTGGTTACTTTCGTTTGATATAAATACGAGCACACCAAAAAGAGACATGATGTTATTAGTAAAAAGAATATATTGTGTTTGCAATGTGCACTACAAGTAAAATGAACACTGAATATTAACACCCAATAAAATATACAAACGAATAACAGTGAAATATACTTTTATATTAAATGACCAACAAAATTAAAGGCATCCTAATCATAAACAAAAAAGAGTTGAGGCATTTCTTAACACTAAAGCTGTCTTTACACAGCCAAGTTAAGGCTGCTCTGAGCCAGCATAATGCCACTTAAAAGCCAGAATAAATTATGCCTACTCTGAGCCACCTCAGCCCCAAGGATCACAGTATACAGCTGTAATTGCTGTGTAAATGCATTTATGCCACCTCTGAACAGCATCAGAATTTCGAATATTCGTCGAATTTAAAATAAAAATTCACATTCGAATGCAAAAATGTTGCTTTCGAATTTTAGGTGTGCGTTAAAGAGGCAGCCTTATCAGTGGCGTACGAGATGCGATGACGATGTAAGTGTCATTGCATTATAATGTTTTTGTTAGCCTATCCAGTTGAAGCCACTAGATCCATTTTGACAGCCCTAGGGAAAAAGTAAAAAAAAAAAAAAAACAGGTGGAGAATCTGCAACCAAAATGCACCAGCATCCTCTCGCAATTATGCATTGTAAGTGCATGTACTCACGGTTTTCTATATTTTCACAAACACATCATTGCACACAAAAAAGCAGATGTAAGCCACTCTCTGGCTGCTGTGGGATCAGACACAAAACAATAGAGTGCAATATTCAGCGGCCGCAACGCAGCACTGGTGGGGCAGGGTGGGTTCAGTGCAAAAATCTGTGTGGGATCTGCAACCCAATACACACATCAGACACGTGAGCGGAGGAATGTTGTCAGCCCACACACATAAACGGACATGCGGCTGCAGCAGGAAGAATGCAACACTTTGGGAGGAAGTTGGGTGTGTTGCGGTATGTGTTTCCACAGAGTGAACCGGTGTCCTGTTACGCCTTCGTCACCCCACTGACATGACTGAAGGTGTCAATCAATCTCAGCGCAAGCTTGTTTCCTGCTCCTGTGAAATAAAAGGGTTGCTGTAAGCATGCAATGCAGTTTTCATTTCACTGCATGCAATGCGAATGCAAGTGCATGTGGAATATTGTGATCCTTCATAATGCCGATCAACTGGACTGCGATGAATCACTAAGCAGATCAGAAGCGCATCTGATACTGCAGACAGATGCTGGCGAGGTGCTGACGTGGTAAGCTGATCCATGCATGACATTCCGGATCTAGAAGCATCTCTGTTTCCTGTCCACTCCCTCCCAGCACACATAATCACTGTGTCCTGATTGGATTACAGCTCGCAGGTCACTCTGGAGACCACGGCACTGAGGGATTACTAAAGCTAGTACTAGTACTCATACTGATCAAACCTTAGGGCCCTATGATTTCCACAATGCATAAATCGCAGAATCAAGACATACAAATTGAATTTACAGTATAACGCAGAATCTCATGGAATTTTGGATGAATAAATCAAAAGGAGGACTGTACACTTAATTAAACCACGATATGGACCAGTGTCTGAAAATAATGAACCACAAAAAAAAAAAGATATTTAAATATTAGGGATGCACCGAATGTTCGGCAACCGAAATTATATAAGCGAATAAGCAAAAAGACCAAATAAATTGTACCGAACAATGATGTGACGTAGGGGCTGGGTGATATGGGCAAAAATTCATATCTCGGTATTTTTTGGCTGATTTGCGATATACGGTTTATATCTCTGTATTTTCGTTTTTGTATTTGGATTAAAAAAATCTGCATTTAATATATATATTTCACTTACCACCTAATGTTGTCCAACAAAACAATACCTATTAAAGGCTATGAAAACAAATAAAGTGAATGTAACCATGTAAGCCTTTATATTATGTGCAAAAAAAGGTTAAAATCACATTTCCTTCTAACATTGCAATCTAAAAACCAAAATAAGGCTTTTAAAGCAGAAGTTAAATTCACTAAACTAAAAATGAAAATAAATGAGAACAAAAGCACAGAAATGTGTTAGGCTATTTTGATTACCCCATTAGTCACTTTACAGTCAGTGCTATCATAAAAATAGACTTACTTGTAGGTTTAAAATTCTAAATGTCACATTTATTGTCCAACTATTATTGCGCTGATATTTAATTGAACTCTGTCTGTTTGGCGTGACTGCGTCACATTTATTGTCCAACTACAAATATTTCAGCGAAATTTATATTTTAGTCAGAATTATTGCGCTGATATTTAATTGAACTCTGTCTGTTTGGCGTGCATGCGCACGGCGCTCGTTCACTGAAGTGATGTCTGTGAAGTTTAGCGGAGAATCCCAAAGCAGAAGGCACATGGAAATATTTCCATGGCTTTCTAACATTTACAGATGGAGAATATACCTGTGAAATGTAAGTTATGCATTCAGGAAGACAGCACATCTCAAACACATTAAACAGCGCGAGTAGCCTGTGTCTCTGTCAGCGGCACATGCAGCCTTTCAGTCAGAGCATCTGACTGGCCGAGCCGCTTAAACTAATATGCAAAATGAAACTATAAACTATGTTTTACCAGTTTTTAAAGGCCTTAATATGAAGCTTGTCACATGTTTAGAACAAATTGGATTATGGACTTTCTCCGCAGCAGCTCAGTCTGTGTCCTCCGTTATATTTTCAGATGTGCTCGTATCAAACTGGTAATTTAACCATTAAAACGCACACAAGTCTTGTAGGTTTAAAATTCTACATGTCACATTTATTGTCCAACTACAAATATTTCAGCGAAATGTTTATTTTAGTCAGAATTATTGCGCTGATATTTAATTGAACTCTGTCTGTTTGGCGTGCATGCACGCGGCGCTAGTTCACTAAAGTGACGTCTGTGAAGTTTAGCGGAGAATCCCAAAGCACACACACATAAACATCGCATTGAAAACACAACTAATCCCTGATGCAACAAGCCTTCACCCCACAGGAAAACAGCAAAACAGGAAGTCGCTGCACGAGCTCGCGGCACCAGGGTTCAAAGTCCAAAGCACGAGTAAAATCTGCGCTGAAATAGTGTTACTTGTCAGTTGCTCAGTAACATTTTTATGAATTTTTACAAGGCATGTGACAATGCGATACGTGCAACAAACGTCTTCCTAAATTCGTAATGAGAATTATTTGTCAACAAAAAGAAGCACTGAGGTCTTCCTGCGGGTTTCTGCCAAAATAAAAGCTGAGAAAAAGCAAGAACTCCATCAACATTCATAAATGTTATTATAATATTTTCTAATGTTTTAAAAGAAGTCTCCTGCTCAGCAAGGCTGCATTTATTTGTACGGTAAAAAATACATGCCTGATTCAAGAAGGGGGTCTAAAAAATTACCAAAAAATATTATTTTACTAACTTATTAATTTTAAGTTAAGTTGTGTTTTATTGGTATAAATTTATTAAAATGTAGCAAAAATTACAAGTATGTTTTTGTCCATATGATAATTTTCAATCAGTTGAATGCTATGATTCTTTAATTGACGCCCCTGACCTGGAAAATCTGAGCATGTTTCCCGCTGGATAATTCTGACACTGTAAACATGAAACACCTGTAAACACAATCACTCAGATGTGTGTGTGGGAACATGCTTGTTGCCATGGCGACAGACTCACTGCAGGAACTGTTTCCTGTTTTGGGGCTCGGCAGACAGCGTAAATGAGTGTGAAATTGAATGTGTTTCAGAGTGATGACATCATCGTTTCACAAAATATATGGATTGGCTGTACACACGAAAGCGCAAAGGTGTCATTTTCAGATTTATCCACTCTGGGACCCAGTTTCAAAAAATAGCGTTTCAGGCTCCCAAAACGCCGGATCCGTCTGGACGAAATGTGACTCAATAAACATGTTTTATACAGATAAATGTGTGTCTTCTCTCAGATAATCATGTGTACTTAGTTTATTAGAATGTGTGAGGCTATTTGAATCTGTCTTCATGGACACGCAAACAAACACGTCACTGACAAACACAAACACACTGAGTAGGTGGTGAAGAATAAATCACAGATACAGGAAATGAGGTCAGGACAAGAGAGAGAGAGAGAGAGAGAGAGATGAAAGAATAAACAGAGGAGAGAGAAAGTGAGATGATGATACTGACAGATGAAGAAAAACAGCTAAATGGGTAAAAATGAATCACACAGGCCTCCTGCAGAGAGATATATGGTGATGAGATGTGCTAGAAAACAAATACAGAAATGAAAAAGGAGAGCTAGGATGGTGAACTAGTCCACTAATCAATTAGTAGAGGTCGACTGATCGGCCGGCCAATTAATCGGCCGATTTTTGGCATTTTTAAATTAATCGGCATCAGCCGATTGTGTTGCAAATTAGGCCGATTTATAGGCAGGCGCATCTGCGGCCAGCTAAGCGTTGTTGTGGTTTATCCGTACCGGAGAATCCCTCTCCCTCTGGTGAAGTGAGATGGAGCAGCTCACACTCTACAGCCGTGGCTTGTTCACACACAGCTTCAGCTAATGATGGCAGGGCAAAACAGACCGTTTCGAAAGCGTAATTACGTTTTACCCTACTAGAATTGATGTGACCGTGCTTATCATATTCATAAGTGCAACAAGTCATTTGCATGTGAAAGT